CGAGGACACGGCCGTGCTTTGCCTGAGCCCGCCCGTGCCTCGGCCAGGGTTAATTACACGGCCAGCAGTTGGGAGAAACACGGCCGTGTTTCGCGGTGGGCACGACCGTGCTTTGCCTGAACACGGCCGTGCTTTCAGCCCGTGTTTGCAGCTGAATTTGCCAAATCAATTAGCTCTCGGCATAAAAAGCACGGCCACCAGAACACGGCCGTGTAATGATTTAGGTGTGCCCGTGTTTTGGCTCCAGCTTGACGAAATGACCTCCGAATGCCCCGAAACTCGTGCTTAGCCTTCCCTTTTACACCTGGGACCTGAAACATGACAAAATAGCACAACCCGGCATAAAATAGGCCAAAAACACACGACTATGCCCCTCAAACGGATAAGAACTAGGGGCGCAAATTCGTGCAATTACATCGTTATCAAATTCCCCCACACTTAACCGTTTGCTTGTCTCCAAGCAAACCTAACTCAAACCAATGCAACTCTCCAGACCTCTATAGCAACAAACAACCCAGATCGTAGGTAGAGGACTTCCTAGATCATTTAGAAACTTACGAGGTCAACCGACGCACAAGTCATCTCATAGCTTCTTCGGCGAGAGCACTAGTATCGAGTCGGCATCATGGCAAATAGTGAACAGAGGACAAATGAATTGTGGATGAAGAGATTCTCAAAAACAAAAGATCATGGACTCACATTTTTCAAGGTGCTCTATATTCTTTGAAGATGGTTGGAACCCCTTTTCTTTCTGTTTTGCTTGTTTTCTGTTATTTTTTTCTTATTTTTTTCTTTTTTCAAGGGTCCCAACCGGCTCTTACCGGCCATGCCAAGAGCGGATGTCTCGAGCCTCGTGCGGGGGAAAGAAATGTAAGGGGGCTGGAGGTAGTAGGTGGAAATTGGGAACGAATTCCCGTCTCCCCTTACACACTTTCGCCCTATTCGCACGGGAGAAGTTATTTTGAAGCACATTTTCGAGCACCTGTTAAACTCAAAACATGATACAAGAGTCCATGACAGGTAGAGAGTCCACAACACCACACAACTCAAGGGTCATAAGATCACTAATTCACTCAATCAACCAACACAATATGAAGAAGAAATGAGACTTCTTAAATGCATCAACATCCTCCATAGTGCTACACTACCTCCCTAGGTTGCACATTACTATAAAGACTGTCAATTCAAAGCATACTGAGCAGGCAATTGTAAGGAACACGTACTTGGAGCCCTCAAATTTAAAAATTTGGACAGTGGACTAGGCTCCAAGCACACAAACAGATCTAATGCAGTTAAAGATAAACATCCCCCCACACTTAAGATCGACATTGACCTCAATGGAGAAGAGGGAAGGAAAAGAGGAACGATGTTACCGGTATGCACGGACTGCAAGAGACTGGAGACGGGCCAGTCAGAGTGAAGCGGACTGGAGAGAGGACCAATCAAGCCAAGCACAGCTAAAGGAAACCAAAGAGCTCAAACACAATATGTTAGATCCAATGTCAGCCCAATAAGACATCATCCAAAACAAAAGAAAACAAACCAAAACCAAACTGGTTTACAATCCGACTCAAAACACAAGAAAGAAAGTCAAACCGTGGTGGGGTTGCCTCCCCACAAGCGCTTCTTTACCGTCTTTTAGCTGGACGCCCATGGTGGATACTCAGGGCGGTGCAGGAACAGGTGCCTTCAAGAGCGGATCCACGTCGCTCTTGAGGTACAGCTTCAGGTTGTGGCCATGCACCCGACGGATGCGACCACCATCATCAGTCAGCTCGACCTGGCCATCCGGCAAGATGCAGGCGAGTGAGTACCCGGACGGCCAAGGTGGTCGTGGTGCCGGAGGTGGGGCCAGCTCATAGTGGTCTCCACTCTTCTTCCGTGCAGGCTTAGCAACCTGCTGCTTCGGCCGCCACTCCTCCTTGAGCTTTTTGTTCGGAGGTGAGGCTGGATGGAGTGGCGGCAAAGGAATAATAGGAGGGTCCTGCAAAATAAGAGGTGCAGAAGGATACACGACAGGCTCGTGTACCTGATCAGACATAGCATGCACAGGGGTGACATCAATCATAGCACAGTGGTCAAATTCAGTCACAGAAAAAGTAGCCTGTTCATTCCCAGCACGCAGGATCAGTTTATCATCATGCACATCAATAAGTGCCTTGGCGATGGCAAGAAATGGTCTACCCAGAATCAAAGGTACATCCACATCCTCATGTATATCAAGAATAACAAAATCAACAGGATATGTGAATGCACCAACACTAACAAGCAGATCCTCTATGATTCCCCTAGGATGCACAATGGAACGATCAGCTAGCTGAATGCTCATCCTAGTAGGGCTAAGTTCACCTAGGTCTAGCTTTTTATACAACTTATATGGCATGACATTTATGCTAGTGCCTAGGTCCGCCAAGGACTTGCCTACATGCATGCTGCCAATAGTAAGAGGGATAGTAAAACTCCCTGGGTCCTTGCGCTTTTCGGGCAGCTTGTTCTGCAGGATAGCAGAACACTCCTCACTGAGCATCACTGTCGAAAGATCCCCAAGTTTCTTCTTGTCGGTGATGAGGTCTTTCATGAACTTGGCATACTTGGGCATCTTCGACAGTGCCTCCACGAACGGTATGCTGATGTTGAGCTGCTTCAACATTGCCATAAACTTGGCAAACTCAGTCTCCAGCTTGTCTTTGTGGAGGCGAGTGGGGAAGGGAAGCTGGGGCACATGCTCCTTAACCACTGGTTGTGGCTTGGGAGCAGGAGCTTCCTTCTCCACCCGCACTTCTGCATCGTCTGCTGGAAGTGCTGAAGCAGGTAGTGGTTCCTCCTGTTTGGCCGGGACAGGATCAGCAGATATGGTCTTACCGCTCCTGGTAAAAATGGCATCCAGCTGCTGAAGCTAGTGAGGATCCCGAGGATTCGGGATAGTGGTGGCGGGCAGAGTCCCCGGTGCCCTGGTAGTGTTTTGGCGGGCCAAGATACCCACCTGGTGCTGCAGATCTTGCAAGATGGCACCCTGGTTCCTCTGACCTGCCTCCAGTGATGTGATAGCTGCCTGAGTGCTAGTCATGAATGAAGCTAGAATATTTTCCAGCTTTGTCATCCGGTCATCTGGGGCCGGAGCTGCTGTTGGCTCGGCAAACTGGCGCTGGGGCTGCTGGAATGGTTTCCCCTGCCTAGGCTGGTAGGGCTGCTGTTGTGGGTCTGGCCCCTGGCGAGCCTGGAAGGGCTGCCTCTGCTGAAAACCACCTGCTGGTGCTGGGAAACCAGGTGGTTTAGTGGTGTTGCTGCTCTAGGCGAAGTTGGGATGCTGGCGCCACCCCTCATTATATGTGTTACTGTATGGATCGAGGCGCCGCGCATTGGCGATGAAGGCCAACTGCTCCTGGGGTGTGGTAGACTCCCTCATAGCCTGGCAGTCCTCCACTAGGTGATTGGAGCTCTCGCACCACTGACATTGAGCTACTGGAGGTGTAGCCAAACCTCTGCCCGGAATCAGACTGTTGGGCTGCTTCAATGTCTGCACTAGCTCAGCTACGTGCTGCTCGAGCCCGAATCTGGTCTCCATGGCGTGCACACCACGGTCCCGGGAATGTCTGCCTCGGCTACCCTGTCCCCAAGAATGATCTCTGGCAGCCAAAGTACTGATCATCTGGTTCAGCTCGGGTGGAGTCTTAGTGAGAATATCCCCTCCTGGGCATAGAGACTCAATCACCCTCTTGCTATCTGGAGAGAGGGCACTGTAGAAGTTCCCCACTGTGAATGCATCACTGAAGCCATGATGGGGACACTGCCAGAAATAGCCCATGTACCGCTCCCAAGCATCACGAAGTGACTCATCTGGCTCTTGGCGGAAGTGAGTGATCTCCCGCTGGATCTCTGTAGTCTTCGATGCCGGATAGTACCTGTGCACGAATTTGTCAGCCAGATCGTCCCAAGAGGTGATGGACAATGGGGGCTGGGTCTCCAACCACCTCTTAGCATTCCCAGCCAGAGAATGGGGGAAGAGATGAAGGCGGATTGCATCATCCGGGACACCATTCAGCTTGAACCCGTTCGTCAGCTGCAGAAAACGGGACAGATGTACCATGGCCTCCTCATCCTTCAAGCCATGAAACTGGATGGAGGATGTGGTGAGCTGAATCCAGCATGGCTTGATCTCGAAGTTGTTTGCTAGAATAGGCGGGTAGAGGATGACCGGGTGGATGTCAGCAATCCAAGGAGTGTAGTAGTACTCCAAGGTGGGACCCGGCTGCGGTGGATGATGAACTCCATGATCCTGGGGTATGGGGTTGTTCCCCAGGACCTGATTCACCGGGGGAGCGTGGTGAGGATTCCCCTGGTGTTGATTGTACTCTCCGTCCATCCTGTACTCTTCCTCAGAATCGCTGCTCAGGTGGCCGTCTATGCGCTCTTCCGTAGCCAGTCTAGCTCTCTGTTGTCTCCTAAGTTGGCGACAGGTGCGGTCAATCACTGGATTCAACGGCAGTAAACCTCCTGACTGGCTACGGGTCATGCACTACCTACACACACTCAAGCAAGCAAACCCGTGAAGGCACAAGTGGGACAAAGCAAACAAAGCAAAAAAGAAAAGCTAAATTAACAGAAATCACTTTTCTTCAAGAACCTAGCCGTCCCCAGCAACGGCGCCAAAAACTTGACTCACTTCTACTGTCACCCCAGGAATTGGCCAAGTGTAACCACTTCCTAAAGCGTAGTATAGCGGGTTTGGGTTTAATTATCAATTCGGGTCCTAGATTTGATGACTACTCAGTGAATTCTTGTTATCTAGCAATGAAACTGGAATGCAAGTCTAAACTAACAAACTAACAAAGCAAGTAAACAGTTGTATTCAGGTTAAGAGAGGTCACCCGGATATGGTTCCCCCTAGACTGCAGTTAAGCCGGATTGTAATTACCAAGTTCAGTTTCTATGATAGTTATACTGCGGAAGGTTCTTAAACAGCCTGAAGTCTCGACTAAAGGTCTTCAGACCCTCTCAATCTGAATCTCTAGCGGGCGACTAACCTCCACCGGAGTAGACAGATTGAGGCCCTAAGAACAAAATCTCCACTACCGGAGTAAATCCGGTACAGAATAGTGAATTGGTTCCTCGACTAAAGTCACCAACTCCCTACCTTCAATCAAGGATACTCTATCAACCTAGGCAGATATTCTCATTCTAGGTCAAAGTAGAAACAACAGGAATTTGATCAGGATTCAAGTCATTCAATCATTCAAACCTCAATCGAATATAATCAATCATAGAATCTGTACTTGGGTTCATACAATCAAAGCCTAACATACAAATCTAGGGTTCTCCATACCCAGATGAATGGGAGAACTACTCCATGGAGAAGAAAGCAAAAGCAGAATCAGACACGGAATTCATACTGTGAAGGATGGATTCCTGCTCCTGGACGTTGATTGGCACTCCTCCAAGCTCAAACTGGCCTCCAATGGTGTTGAAGATCAATATAGGGCACTTGGAGTCGTTCTCTCTCTCAAAAACTCGAATCCCCTTAACTTGTGGCTGAAAATCTGCTTAAAAGCATCAGTGGCCAAAGCACGGTCGAGGACACGGCCGTGCTTTGCCTGAGCCCGCCCGTGCCTCCGCCAGGGTTAATTACACGGCCAGCAGTTGGGAGAAACACGGCCGTGTTTCGCGGTGGGCACGGCCGTGCTTTGCCTGAACACGGCCGTGCTTTCAGCCCATGTTTGCAGCTGAATTTGCCAAATCAATTAGCTCTCGGCATAAAAAGCACGGCCACCAGAACACGGCCGTGTAATGATTTAGGTGTGCCCGTGTTTTGGCTCCAGCTTGACGAAATGACCTCCGAATGCCCCGAAACTCGTGCTTAGCCTTCCCTTTTACACCTGGGACCTGAAACATGACAAAATAGCACAACCCGACATAAAATAGGCCAAAAACACACGACTATGCCCCTCAAACGGATAAGAACTAGGGGCGCAAATTCGTGCAATTACATCGTTATCAGGAGGCGCCAATGAATGAAGAAAGAAAGGAAATTACCGAGGAACATGAGCCACCCCCCACCAAGGAGAATCGAAGTGGGGCGCCCGACGCCCAGGTGGGCGGGAGCCTTTGCTGAGTATAACGACACGCTGAAGAACATACTCCAACACGTCAAGGAGAAGGGGTATCACATCAGATGGCCGGGCCCCATGAGGGGACAATCCAATGAACGGAACCTGGATCGATATTGTGACTTCCACCGAAAAGTGGGACACCATACGACCGACTGTTATCAGTTGAAGACCGAGCTGCAGGGCCTGGCCGACAGAGGGATGCTTAACGACTTCGTCAAGAAGCCTGAAGAGAGAGTGCACCGGGCATGCGTGGCCGGCATGGAGAAAGCGAAGAGGGAGCTGCCACCCCCGCCCTATGACCTCGACCAAGAAAAGGCGCACGATCGAGTACGTCTAACCATTGAAGCCATTTCGGGGACGATGGACTTGAGAGAAAAAATAGAGGCAAACCGCCGGCTGAGAGCGGCATCGGCGGACGTGCAGGAGGCGATCGATATCAGCTTCAATAGGGCGCCAGAAGAAGCATGCATGCTCCCATTCATGGACGCCTTGGAGATACAATGAGTGGTGGCGGGATGCAAGGTGAGAAGGATGCTTGTCGACACGGAAGTTCAATGGACGTATTATTCAAGGATACGGTAGTTCGCATGCAATTATCGCCGGAGCTGATCAGACCATCGGAGTCGGTACTAGTAGGATTTTCGGGGGCGCCCGCCAGAGTAATAGGGCGAGTGCGCCTGCCGGTCACCTTGGGGGACGGGGAGCAAAGGGTGACGCGTGCCATCGACTTGGAATAGTGGACTGCCCATCGTCATACAATGCGATCCTGGGAAGACCCCTCCTGGCCTTATTCAATGGGGTGGCCTCTACTTGTCATCAAACCTTGAAATTCATTGCTTCACAAGGAGTAGGCGTAGCCTGGGGACGAGGCGCCCCGCACTATGCAAAGGAAGCAGGGCGTAAGCAAAGAAGAGGCACCTCGAGCCGAGACTGCCGACGAAGAGCTTCTGGTGGTGCTAGACGAAGGGCGCCTGGAAAGGCAAGTGAGGATATCTGCAGAGGCGCCCGACGAAATGAAAGAGCGCCTCATCGCCCTCCTGAAGGAGTTCGCGGAGCTTTTCGCGTGGAGTGCACTAGAAATGCCAGGCGTCACACCCGAAACGGTCGTTCATAGGTTGGCGATCGAGGAAGGCAGGCGCCCCGTGCAGCAACAGCGCAGGAACCTATCGCCGGAGAAGGAGGCGACGCTTAGGGTCGAAGTGGATAAGCTCCTGGGCGCCAACTTGGTCGAAGAAACCTCTTATGTTACTTGGTTATCGAATGTGGTCTTCGTGCCAAAACCGTCAGGAGATTGGAGAATGTGTGTGGATTATACGAGCCTCAACAGAGCATGTCCAACGGACGCCTACTCGATGCTCTGAATAGACCAGTTTGTGGACTCCACGGCATATCATGAGATGCTAAGCTTCGTGGACATGTTTTCCGGATACCATCAAATCCCCATGGTAGAAGAAGACCGACCTAAGACAGCCTTCATGACGCCCTTCGGAAACTTTTGATCCCGGGTCATGGCATTCGCGCTCAAGAATGCGGGCGCTACCTATCAAAGAATGGTCAACAGCGTCTTCCGTCAACAAATTGGTCGGAATGTGGAAGCCTACGTGGACGACTTGATAGTCAAAAGTCGGAGGCGTGAAGACCACCTGGAAGACTTGCGGGAGACGTTCCAGGCCATGCGGGCGCATCGGCTTCGCCTCAACCCCCTCAAATGTGTGTTCGGCGCCAAATCAGGGAAATTCCCAGGATTCATGATCACCAAACGAGGCATCGAGGCCAACCCAAAGCAGGTGGACGCCATTCTCAGGCTGACACCCCCGAAGACGTCCAAAGAGGTGCAAGGCTTGGCAGGAATGTTAGCGGCCCTGGGGCGCTTCATCCCCTGATCCGCGGACAAGGCCGCTCCCTTCTTTCGGACGCTCAAGAAGGCGGTGCGATTTCAATGGACCACCGAGTGCGATGGAGCGTTCGAAGAACTGAAGCAACTCCTAGCCGCCCCAACTGTAATGACGGCGCCCAAAGCGGGGGAGACGCTGTACCTTTATATTGGTGTGTCAGAAGTCTCAGTAAGTGCAGTGCTCGTCTCAAGGGAAGCCCTCTATGGAGAAGAAAAACTGGTATACTATGTCAGTCGCACCAAGGTTGCCCACGAAAGACGGTACGCACCCATCGAGAAGGCCGCATTGGCAGTTGTGATGGCCGCGACCAAGCTGAGGCCCTACTTTCAGGCGCATACCATCATAGTATTCACCAACCTACCTTTGAAGTCCACATTAGGGTCAATGGATGTGGTCGGGCGCCTCGTCAAATGGGCAGTCCAGCTAAGTGAGTTCGACATTCGGTATGCGCCCCGACCGGCGATAAAGGCCCAGGTCTTGGCTGACTTCGTCGATGAAGGAGTAGCAGAGTCAGAGAGGGGGGGGGGGGGGAGGGCGGATGATTGTTGGCAGGTTCAGGTTGATGGGCGGCTAGACACACCGGCGCTGGGGAAGGTATCGTGATGATAAGCCCTGGAGGCGCGATGCATGAAGTCGCATTGCGATTGTCAACCCTAAAAACAAACAACGCTGTGGAGTATGAAGCGGTTATCGCCAGCATGAGTATGGTCAAGGAGTTGGGCGCCAACAAGGTCCAAGTCAGGTCCGATTCGGCCCTTGTCGTTAATCAACTTAACGAAGTCTTTGAAGTGAAAGAGGAGGCGCTAGAAGGGTACGTGCGAAGAGTTCGAGAACTGGGAGCCTGGTTTGAGGAAATCTCCTTCGTTCACATCCCACGTGAAGAGAATGCCCATGCAGACGCTTTATCCAAGCAAGCGACTGCTGTGGATTTCGCGGAAGAACGGAAAGTCATAATCACCGCAGAGGCGCCTCATGAACATCTGGTCGCTACCCTAGGAGGTGTGGGCGCCGACTCCGGATGGATGGCGCCAATTGTATTGTTCCTGACCCAAGGCGTGGTGCTTGATGACCCGAAGGAAGCCTGGCGCCTCCGCCGAAAAGTGGCTAGGTGTTCCATAATCGAGGGAAAGTTGTACAAAAGGTCTCATGTGGGAGCATACTTGAGATGTCTGGACGAGAAGGAAAGCAGGGGGCAATCGAGGAGGTGCATAGCGGAACGTGCGGCATGCACGCAGGAGCACGAAGCCTGGAGAAGACACTGCTACGACAAGGGTTTTACTGGCCAACAATGAGACGGGACGCAAAGGCACATGTGGGCGCCTGCAATCAGTGCCAAGTTCATGCAAATGACATTCACATCCCGGCGGCACCCATGCAAGGCAACGTAGGAGCCTGGCCATTCGCCCAATGGGGCATGGATCTCTTAGGCCCATTTCCCAAGGCGCCCGGATAAATGATATACCTGATACTGGCAGTCGATTACTTCTCCAAATGGATAGAGGCAGAACCTTTAGCCATAGTCACAGAAGCCCAGGTACGAAAATTCACCAAGAAGAATATATTCACTCGGTTCGGCTTGCCTGAGTCCATTGTCACAGACCATGGAAAGCAGTTCGACTGCAAGAAGTTTGTGGAGTTCTGTGATGACAATGGTGTCGTGTTGAGGTTTTCTTCGGTGGCTTACCCACAAGCAAACGGTCAAGCGGAGGCGGCCAACAAAAGTATCCTTCACGGGTTGCACACCCGGTTGGCTAGTGCCAAGGGCAAATGGGTTGAGGAACTGCCAAACGTGTTGTGGGCGCATCGCACAACTTACAAGACAGCCACCGGAGAAACACCCTTCGGCTTGACTTACGGAAGCGAGGCATTCATTCCATTGGAGGTAACCATCCCAAGTTACCGCGTTGTCCAGTACGACCCAAACGGCAATGACGAGGTACGAACCAAAGAATTGGACATGTCGTAAGCAAGTGTGTAAGCACGTTTGTGTTGTGACTAAAGCGCTCATCGGAATAGCGCCGTATCGTGTCCAAAGCGCCCAGTGTTCTAGTGCCCCAATAGTGACCTCATGTTTACTTCCGCGATTTCATATTAAGTAAAAGCGCCCAAATTTGCGCCCGATTGTGTGTTTAAGTATAAAGAATTAAGGGAAGTCAGTAAAGCGCCCCGTTTCGCGCCCTTCATTCGCAAAGCGCTCTCAATATTGAGCCCTAAGTCAGAACAATAACGCACCCAAATTCGCGCCCTCGGAACGCGATAATCAAAGATAAAACAAAATCGCGCTCAACTTTGCGCCCGATAGCTGCAAAGCGCCCTCATTTTTTGCGCCCTAAAAAATCGCTCAAAGTTAAGTAAAATCAAGTGCCCCAAGATACGTTAGAATCACCAACATAAACGTCTTTATAAATATTCATTCATTAAAAAAAAAAAAATAATACAACAGGATCCTACTTATTCGACGCTCATTCTTTACTCAGCTCCTGAGTTGGCATCTCCGACACTAGGCGCCTTCGGAAAAGGCAACGCAGGAGCGGAAACGGTGGGAAGCGCATCGGCAGTAGGAAGCTCGGGCGCCCTTCCCGCTTCGCCGAGGGTCTCCAGCTCTCCGATCACATACTCGGCCATCACGGTCAGGTCCCAAGTAAGGTCGGGGTGATCCTTCTCCAGCTTAATTTTTACAATTTCGAGGCCGGTAAAGCATGCGTTGGCGCACAAACTCTTTCCAGCCTCGGATTCCTCGAAGGTGTCCAAAGAATGGCGCAAGGCAGAAATTTCTTTCCACGCCTCTTTCAAGGATTTCTTATTCTCCTTGCAGGCGTCTTGCCACCTTTTCTTCTCCTCCTTGAAGATATCTATCTCGCTCGCTTGGGCGCCTACCTCCTGCGCCAGCGCCTCCTTCTACGCCTAAAGGGTTGCCGACTTATTGCGCTCTTCGTCAAGAGCGCCCTGAAGTCGTGACACCTCCATGGCCGCGTTCATTTGTGCTTCCTCGCACTCCTTCACAAAATGCTAGCGGCGCTCGATCGCGGTTTCCAGGTCGTGCTTCATAGAGGAGGCAGAGGTAGAGGCTTCGAGCGCCTCTCGCTTGGATTCAAAGAGGCGCCGGACGCCTCTCTCAGCAAAAAGAAGGATCTGCATACATCAAGTAAGAAGGATTAGCGTTTGTGTAAAAAGCAATTTCGCAAATGCGAGAGAATAAGTAAAAGAGTATATACCTTGGCGCCCACTTGGGCCAGTTCGGCGAAGAGATGATCCTCATTCATCTCCGACGGCACTTGTTACATCTTGGCGGCCGTAATCGCCAACCCCATGGCGCAACCTCGGTCGACTGCCGACAGTGGGGAGCAAGGCAAGTCGATGCGTCCAACATCTGAGCGGCCCAGCTGGAAGATAGGAGGGCGCCCATCAGGGCCCACGTAGCGCCCCTCTTCATTGAGGTGGTATTGGGCGCCCTCCTCACCGCCCGAGGAGGTGGCGCCTGCTTTCTCCTTCCCTCTGTCAGCCTTTTTGCTGACATGGGCCAAGGGGTAACCAGCTTTCTTCCCCCGCCGAATCAGGTGCTCAGCCTCTTCTTTCTCGGAGTTACCTTCTTGCTCCGTGGGTTCAGAATCAGGCGCCCCTTCTTCAGCCTCCGGGGCGGAAAACGCCACGCTGGCGGTCTTCGTATGAAATGTGCCCCCCTTCACTGCCCTCTTCTTCTTCTTCCGGCCAGGATGAGGCGCCTGTGATTGGGCGGCGGCCGAAACGGGTGCCTGTGATTGGGTGGCGGCCGAACCGATGAGGGCGCCCCCCCAGTCATAGCCGCAAGCCGACTCTTCATCAGCTTGGCAATGCTGCTGAAGTCCGACCCTGCACATTGTCAAATAATTAGCACAAGTAAAAAAATAAAAATTAGCACAAGTCACAACATGGTTACAAGTATAACATCTAGGCGCCTACAAACCATCATTATAATACGCATCCAGAATTGGGGGGGGGGGGGAGGTTTTCAGTGATGCGCAGGTCTACACTCTGCTCGCAAATCAAGCGGGCGCCGTCTGTCTCCGATTGAGACAGCACGACCGGCGCGTTAAATTCCTCGATGTGCCCCAACTCCCACTGCCTCAGAAAGGCGCCTCCACTCTCAAAGAATGAGTCCCTGTACGCCTTCATGAAGAACCCATTGAACCAGCTGCGCCCCAACTTCGGACACCGCTCCACGAAGTGATATTGGCGCTTCTTCCTCTTTTGAAGTGACAAACAGTTGTCAAGGGGCGCCATCTTAAAAAAGTACCTGAACAAGTTGAAGGTGGGCTCCACGTTGTGTTCCCGACACCTCAACTTGAACAGGATTACAATCACAATGACCGAGGGAGATAGGCGCCCCAGCGGGCAACCGCAGGTCGTCAGGATCGCTTCTATAATGTGGTCGACGGGAAACCGCAGTCCGAAGCGAAAGTATTCCTGGTACACCCCGATCCACTTCGGCCCACAGACGCTTACTCGCAAAATCGCAGACGGAGGCGCATACGACCAGTCGCACAGGAGTTGGAGGCTAGACATTAATTCATGTACGCGGGCCAGGGTAACAGTCGACGTATGCTTCGGTCCGGCAACGTCGAAGGGCAACTGGGACGTTTCCATGGGAAGATGGTCGGAGGGAAAAGAGTTCTCCCGCGTCGTAATCTTGTAGGACCCGTCCGCAGGCATGAAACTTGGAGTCGAGGCGCTTGATGGACCAGTGGACGTAGAAGCAGACGCCCTCTCTAAACCAACAAACGACCCAGGCGCAACGTTGACGCGGAGTAAGTGACGCCCTACCCTAGATAGCTAGAATAAATTCAACAAAAATAACCAACAAGAGAAGATTCCTTACCACTTTGAGTCGGACGCCTTGCTTCACCGCCTGCGCCCGAGGCACCTGCACCAGTCGCACCCGCGCTAGAGGCGCCTTGGCCGGAAGTTTTGTCTTATTGTGGCGACGACATTCTCAACTGACACAAAGAAAGGGTAACGATTGCAAAGAGTGACAAGAGGGAGGTCAAAGCGGAATCTAGAGAGAAGTCAGAGCGAAATCTTAGAGAGAGGTCAATTTGTAGAAAGTGACAAGAACTGAGGGGGGAGGGGGTATTTAAAGGAGAGGAGGACCCGAACCAAGGCTCGCGTCGCGCGCCACGTGTCAATATCACGTGAGGGCTTTTGAGCTTCCCCCCACTTTTCCCTTTTTGGAATTTCCCAAATTTAAATTTCGAATTTTCTAATTTCGAATTTCGAAATTTAAAATTTTCCAAGCGAGGAAAATGTGGGTCACATATCAAAACCCCACCCCTGAGGGTGGCATAAGGGCTAGGGACACCCCCTCACAGATAGCTCCACGGAAAGGCGCCCACAAGTCACGAGGGGAAAGCACACAAAACAGAGGGTACCATTAAAAGCGGGGCGCCTACCAGCGAAAATAAAGCTAGGTAAGTAAGTCCCAAGGGGAACAGGGGGACAAAGGATGGTCGATAAAGAATTCCAGCGCTGTAAAGACCGGCACATCCTGGAAATCGGGCGCCTATAAACAAAGAGGATGCAAGGCCACGACAAAAGAATCAGTTAGGCGCTCAAAAGTGGAGCCATGAGCACCTAACTGGGGGGGGGGGGGCAATTGTTGGGGGTACTACGAGTGAGGCCCAACGAGTAGTGGTCTGGGCCTCCAAGCAACAGAATTGGGGGGGCAAGGCCCGTGAATGGATTTGTGAAGCATCTCTAGGCCCAAGCAAGGTGAGGGGCACATGAGGACAAAACACTAAAAGCCAAGGGGAGCCAGACTGTCAAGGGAGGCCAGGCTGTCAAGTGGTCCATCGCCTGCGGGCGCCTGTCACGCGCCAGAAGCCTGACAAGGCAGTTGAGATATCTGACAAAGAGAGTACAGGGCATTAAATGGAGACAGTGGCGTGGAAGAGATCAACCTCGAACTCGGTGAGTATAAATAAGGACAGTTGGTAGCATTTACACAGGTTGGATTCTCTCACTAAAACTCTTACTCTGGGACACTTCCCTCTCTAAGAAACGAACTTGAGCGTCGGAGGATTAACGGGCCCAGGCGCCCCCTCCGTGTTCGTGTGTGTAGGCAGGTGCCAGTCGAAGGGAATTTGGGGGAGTTCCAGCCAGGCGTCGAGGCTCAAACAGTTCACAATTTTACTAATCAAGCTCGATTTTAATTACAAATTCCATTGGTTCTTTTATATATTGTTGATGATCATTTACGACTGCTTAAGTGGCTAGCTCTATCCTTCTTTCCCCCTTTGTGTGATGTAGGCGGTAATTGTTTAAGGAAAACAAATAAACAAATAATAAAAATCTTAGGCAATAGTAACGGCGCTTTAGGTTTACATATAGTAATATATAGTTTAGGATTTTGCTACTGTTGGATTGATTAAATCAGTCATAATCAAGTTAGAAGATTGAATTGATAATGGACGAATCGGAGCACAAATTAAGGGGAGAAAATCGAGTGTTCCAAGGGAATCAAGCCTCACCAGCAAAGCCTTCCATTTCTGGGACAATCAAATTCCAATGACTACATTGTTGAAGGCTATTTAAACAGAAGATAGATGGAGAATGTACTGAAAGCCTGAAACGGAATAGGGATTCTTTGTGGTAGAGGCCAAATGGTTGGGTTTGTTCAGTGGCTTTGATCTGTAATGAGGTAGAGGTTCAACATATCAAAGGGTGTAACAAATCCCTACGTGGATTTGGGTTTGTCATTGTGCCTTTTGATTTTCTCACCATCATTTGTAAGCTTGTTCCTTTTATCTTTCTTGAGTCAAAAAAGAAAATCAAAAGTGTTTCTCGGAATAGTGGTACTGCCCTGTGACGAGGAGTAACCCTGTGGTGTACCTCATTAAAAATATTGTTTTGTTCTTTTATTTTCTGCTCTGCTTCTTCCAGTCGCATCGTGATCCTCCCTTTTCCAGTTGAGCTTGCATAAGGGAAGAAGAAGAAAGTCTTCTCTCAATTCAAGTCTTGGGCCAATTAAACTTAAGCCCAGACATTACCTTTGAGTAGTCCATGGGCTTTTGTCTTAGTCAGCCATACTTGACTAAGTCAGATTAAAGAGTCACCAGTACTGGTTGACTTTTCGTTTTAATCTGACTTCCGTTATCCGCTTTCCTTTTCCGTCTTCATTCATTTCAATCCCTAGAAAAAAAAACAGAGTCCTTAGCCATTTCACAGCTACCTTGTAAGTTACCGTGATTTGGACAAAATAATCGATCAATAAATATATACGGTCAACCGAATACACTATTCTCCATTTTGTTACATTCAACAAGCGGTCTACGTAATGGCTCACAGGTCGACTTAATGGCTCAAGTAGTCGATCTCATGTCAGTTTTTTTGTATATAATCCATTTTGTTTGTAATTGCTTACCTTTCTTTTGCGTATTGATATATGATTTTGATTTCGATTTTACAATATGGATAATGAAGAAACAAACATGGAAGATGGTACTCAGAACGTCAAGCATGAAGAAATAAACATGGATGATGGTACTCAGAAGGTTAAGCATGAAGAAACAAACATGGACGATGAAGATGACATGCATAGAGGGAACGATGAAGAAACTGGGCATGAAGAAGCAACTATTCACTATGATTACGAGGTAGATGAAGAGCGTGAGGACAAGCCAATGGCGTATGCAGATGATTCAACTCCACCAGTCACCCTCAACGCGATATGCGATCACATGACTTATTTAAAGCAACTATGATTGTGGATTGAGATTGATTCGTTGTGGTTTTGGATTTGAGATATGTGTGAACTATTGTGAGGTGTGTTTATTCTGTTTTGGTGATAATGATTAAGCTTTTAAGAAGAAATGGTTTCTTGCAACTATAATTGTCAATTGATGTTTAAAATTCCTATAGTAGTTTGTTAGATTTCAGAAGGTGCATTTTATTCTGGGTCTTATGATGTCGACTGGACTATTACAAAGGTCGATCTGAATAAGCAACAATTCATGGTTGTTGTTCTTGTAGAAGGTCAATCGTAAAACCAATCATTTTAATCTACCAAGAGGATTGTTTGTTAAGTTTGAGGGTCTAGCACCCTTTCGTATGGTCAACTTCTTCTTAGGAATGGTCAACCTCTTATTGATATGGTAGACCACTTTGCTGGAAAGGTTAACATTTTTTAATTAAGAATCTTTTATGCAGGATTTTTCCAATAATAGCACCTATTAAAAAAAATTTACAAAAATAGCATCCAGCCCACAAAATTTACAAAACTAGCACCATTTTTATCAAACCGCACCTCCAAGGTGCGGTTTATGCATAAAACGCAAACCGCACCCTCCAGGTGCGTTTTATGCATAAACCGCACCTTGGAGTTGCGTTTTGCGCCACGTCAGACTGGGAACCGCTCCAGGAAGGTGCGATCTGTGTTTTCAGCGGAACGGTCTTCAAGACCGTTGGATGAGGTGGCGATCCAACGGCAGTCGCACGCCACCTCAGCGATCCGCGCATGGATCGAAGACCGCTGCTGCAGGGTGCAGTCAGCGCCTCGAGAAAAGTGGACCACATTGGAAGGGAGCGGTTTCAAGGAGGCCAAAATTACCAGACTGCCCCTGAAGGGTGCGGTCTGAATACTATAAATACCCCCTCCCCCCCTCTCATTTTTTCACACCACAACCCATTCTTCACTCTCTCTCTAAAATTATCTCTCTAACCCCTCCCCTCCCAAAAGTCTAGGAAATAGTGGTATGTTGGTTGCGGCTAATCTACCATCAGAAAACATTTCTTTGGTTTTTCTCTCAAAACCCGCCGAATAGTGGTTCCAAGGAGATGGAGTTTATTATGATGAATTTCAAGCGGTACGTACTCATTATTCTGGTCAATTTTTATTTTTGTTATAAGCTTTTTAATTAATCTATGTACTAACCTTGTTGTTATTCTCTCGTAGGTTGGGGACGACGTGGATATATACAACCAACGCTATTATTTGGATCAAGGACCTATTGATCCAACCGACTTGTACGACCAACCCAGCCATCATTCAAGGGATGTTTGGAACGATCAACAGGTACATACAATTCTTCATCATTTGTCTTTCTTTTATTTTGCTAATGTACTTAGTGGAATATAAAATAAATTTGAAATAATTTAATCGTATTGGTTGTTTTCAATAATTTAATCGAATAAATAGCGCCACTTACTTCGACTCTTTATAAAGAGATGCACGTCTAAGAAAATGGGGTTTTAAGCAATTATCATGATCCTCCCATTCCCTGGGAAAATCGGGTATTAAGATATCCTCGGATCCCCCCTTTTTCTGTCAAAAAGGCTGCGTTTCTAAGAAGATGCATACCTCTTCTAAGAGTCTAACGAGTGTTGCATTGTATTCGATTAAATTATTTAAAACAACCAATATGATTAAATTACTTACCAAACAACCAATACGATTTATGTTTATGTGTACTTAAATAAATTTTATTAATTTCAAATGTTTGAATATGTATATATCTCTTTAAATTATTATTCATTTATAATGTTATCTTTGTCAATTAATTTAGTATGTTTGTTTTATGATAATATGTATATATCTTGGAAAAAACCATTAATTACTTAAATTTGATTGTTAATAATATAATTATAATAGAATTATGGTCGAAATTAAATCATTAATTTTAACTAATTTAGTTATATGACTAAACTGTTACTAATATATCATAAATAACGTTGAAATTTTTGCTAGGAGGCACAACAAATACTCCGCTACAGGGGTACGGCCAATGTGCTCCCATGGAACCCAGTTATCTTGCCATTTCTCAAAAGGGCACGTTTGGAGTCGATTAGGCATTTTGTAGGCATAAAAGTCGATCGCCAACTCATCACCGCATTGGTGGAGAGATGGAGAAAGGAGACACATTGTTTCAACTTTCGCGAAGGAGAGTGCACCATCACACTCAAGTTTCACATTTTTAGTTTTATCATTTTAAGTGTTGTTTTTAGTTATGTTTTAATTATATGTACTTGAAACCCTTCCTCCTATTTTAGTTTCTTTAATTAAGTGTTGTTTTAGTTTTTATTTTAGTTCTAAGTACTTGGCTTTCTCTATTTTGATCGTGTTAACTTAAGGCTTGAGTGTTAATTGAGGGTTATTTGCCAAACACGAAAGTTCCAAGCATCATAGCTCTAACTCCGACAATAATTGAAAACATACATAACAAGTACTAACAAATGAAAACCACAAACTATGTCGCATTAGCTGAGTCCCCCACATCAGGACCAGGATTTTGCGGACCAATCGGACCTGGACAACTTCGTTTATCATGCCCTGGAACTCTGCATACTGAACATCGTCTTGGGCCTCGTGGTGGTCTTCCACTTTGATCCATTTCGTGTTGAATTCTCTTTTTCCTCGGTCGACCCGGTTCACGCCTCTGTCCGAAAGGCGGGATGATCAACTTTCCTGAGTACACCGGCCAATAAGCTTCATCAGGCAATGCACGGAAACTCCATCCATAGCAATTTTTGAGTGATTCGATATTGAAGAATGGACTGACGAAGTGACGGGGGTCTTTGATCCTGTTTTTAACTACAACCATTGCATGAGAACATGGCCACCCTCTCCCCTGATACTTCTGGCATGAGCACTCACCAAGTTTTGTCTGAAATTTACCAAAACTTCATGGCGATGGCCCCCGCGTCTACCATCCTCACGGTGTCCGGTCGTCACTCTAAACTCGCCAGTTGCCCGATTCATAACGGTTACACTGTGTCGACTACTCTTGCGATTGTCATGCTCCAGTATTTCTGTGACTTTATTGGCATGGACCTTTCCCTGTGCCTCGTTCGTCCTTGCCCAGTGTAGTCGATTGACGAACCATCCATTCGTTTTCCAGAAAGTCATCTCCACAATGGCAGATATTGGCAGCGCCCGAACATCCTTGTAGGCAGAATTGATACTCTCTGATGAGGTCGTTGTGGCCATACCCCATCTTGTACCTCCGTCTTTATGAAATGTCCACATGAATAGGTCGTGTCCATCCAGCCACCGTGCCCCTTCAGGGCATAACTCGCGCATCTTCTACAACTTCTCCTGGAATTTTTTCTCTTGTTATGCAACAGCTGAGGTAATCACAATCAAGTATTACGTTAGTCGTAATTCGAAAATTTAGTACAATTCGAACAACCAACATGTACTCTCATTAGACTCTTAGGAGAGGTATACATCTCTTTAGAAACACAATCTGGTTGACAGAAAAGGGGGGATCCGAGGATCGCTTAAAACTCGATTTTCCCAGGAAATGGGAGGACCATGATAATCGCTTAAAACCCCCATTTCCTTAGGCATGCATCTCTTTAGAAAGATTCTAACAAGTGTACCATTTATTTGATATAAGATATTGTTATCAAACAAAATTAAACAACCAATAGAGAGCTTACCAATCCACCACAAATTATCAGCAAGCTTCTTCCGCTAGAAATGATGGTTCCAATTGCTCTTGAAGTGTCGTATGCACCACCTTTGGGACCACTTCCAGGCTGGATCCAAACCTAAGATGGAAGCTCTAATCCCGGCATGCCGATTAGAGATTATTGTCAGGTTCGTCCTCCTAGTGACGTGGAGCTGAATTTTCCGGAAAAACCATCCATAGCTATCAGTATTCTCTCCCTCAATAATGGCGAAGGCTAACGGAAAGACTTGTTTGTTTTCATCCGCCCCACTGGCAATCAGTAGAGTGCACTTGTACTTGCCGGTAAGGAATGTACCATCCACTTGGATCACAGGGACACAGAAGCCAAAACCATCAATAGATGGCTTGAATGCCCAAAAAAGTCGTCTGAAATGGCGTTTGTTACTTGGCTCTGGCGGTTGTATCTCTTCATCTTGGTATCAAAGGGAGAAAATAGTGTCAGGGTTAGACGCCTCCAATTCCAAAATCAACCTGGGAAAGAACGCATATGATTCTTCCCAATTACCAAATATGGCGGCCATAGCTTTCTGCTTTCCATGCCACACCTTCTTATAGTTAATCATATAACCATAACGACTTGCAATGTCAGCGATTATGACTTTCACCTTCAGGTCAGGATCTTGCTCAATTAGGTGCTTGATAGCCGTAGCAACAACCCTGGATTTCAACTATCGATGGCCTTGGGATGTTATGGATCTTCAGCAGGGGTTTCGGCCGGTTTTACCTACTATTGGATTTGAACCAATGACTCTCGCCGTATGAAAGCGATACTCTAATCGGTGGTCTGCGTCTGACTACTGTTCCCTAACTGATATTCCATTCTCTGGACTTTTTTTCCTCCGGTGTCATTTATTTTTCCGTACCGTAATAGACGAGGAAGCGGAGCTCTCTTTTTCTGTGATGTGAAGAAGGGTGGCTAATACAGATTCTGCATTTCCATCCGAATCCGAATCGGAAGGAAGGAAGGGCAAATCAATTACGTCAGTAAAAGAAAGAAGCAAACTGACTTGACTGATGAACACCAACCGGTCTACCAGGAGCAAAGAGCTCACCTAATTTAGAGAATTCACTCCCTGGATGTAAGTCCAGTCAGTCAGTAGCAGTAGAATAGTCCGATTTCCTAGCGATCTCATCCCTCTCCCTATCGGTCGAGCTACTTCATCCCTCTCCTTCTTGTTCTAATTAAAATGCGAGCTCTTTCACCCCTCTCGGAAAGACACCGATTCCTACTCTAATCTCAGGCTTCATCGGTAAGGTAAGGAAGCTACGCAGCTCCAACATCGAATCGGGCAATTCCTCATCAAGCCCTTGTGATGTCACTAAAAAGATGACACACATGTGTGTGTGTTCACCGCATGGGATATGACCCAATGGCTGTCTCTTGTTGTTGATGGCCCGAATCCTAACATTGCATCCCTCGTTATGATTACGGCATCTGACTATGAGCCTTTTCGTGTTGGAATGAGTTGTGTGCCATCAAAAATGTCGAGTCATTGCTTCAGTATCAATGGCGTTCCGCACCTCCTTCTTTGTGCCAAATTGTTGGCCTTTCATAAACCCAATGAGTGGACCCCATATTGGAACCTCCAGGGGTTTCATGTCGCTATCGACCATCCAATTGTTGTCTAGAATGTGATTGTAGTAGGGGACTGGTACACGGTCATGAGCCACCTCATCATCATTATCTGACTCTGACTCTGGTCCTGAATCATCAACACCTTCAAGAGGGTCGGAGCTGTCTGCACTGACTTTGTTCTCTCCTTCTTCATCGGAGGGGTCACTGACTGGTGTTGGCAGGGCATCTTCCATCTGATCCAGCTCATGAAAGGAACCTTCATCAGCTCCATAATGGTAGTTGTAAAAACTACCGCTGCTTAATTGGAAGTTGTACTGGGGTTTGTTGGCATGGTCCGGTTGAACTTCTTCTTCATATGACGGGAAAGATTGATGATGACCTTCACCTTGCTCTTGGTACTGAAAATAGGAATGAGGATCATGGTAACTTTGGTAGGGATGATCTCCATATAATTCACCTCCACCATGGATACTAGATGTTTGACCGTCTCCAGAATGACCCCCAACGCCTACGACCGGCTCGGTGTAAACGAACATCTCAGCTTTGGAAAGATTGTTGGACCTCAAGAATTCGAGTATGACATCTACTTCATTCTGAGTGGTTATGAGATATTCCTCGTGCCACAACGACCCGCCTTCTCTATTTGGATATCAGTACACCATACGATTAACTCTTCTCGTGCCATTCATGCAAGTAACGTTAGTACACATTTGATAGAGGTCTTCAAGCATCGGTCTGGTAGCGACCTTTATTTTCTGAAAAGTGCCACCGACGTAGGTGACCCCCTTTCCGCTCTCTTTCGTGTAACCATTCCACCGTAACCCAAGCGTGAACTTTTGGAATGCCATCTGCAAAAAAAAGTAGTTCAACTAATATCATAAAAATCACAATTCACAATTCACAATAAAAAGTAATACAAAATAAACTTACGAGTTAACGTTAACCGCAAAAATACTAGAGAAGTAGGGAGCTACGACAGAAAATTGAAAAGGGAGAAGGAGAGGTGTGAATAGAAGAGGTTTCCCGGGCTGTCTTTTATAGGCAAAATCATCAATGAAAACCGCATGCAGCCCCACGTCTATCAATCTGCATGGCTACATGTTTGGTGTTGGAAAATAATTGACACACAAACCGCATGGGGGGGGGGGGGGGGGGGTGCGGTTTGTGTTGCCAAAACCGCACTTTGAGGGTACGGTTTGTTTTGGAGAAGCAAAACCGCATCCCCAAAGTGCGATTTTGCTAGGTCAGCACAAGACCGCATCTAGGCCATGAGGTTTGGTTAGGTCAGACACACAAACCGAATGGCCAAGATGCGGTTTACATACAAACCGCACCAGGGGGTGCGGTTCACAATCAAACCGCACCTCTAAGGTGCGGTTTTTAAAAAAGGGTGCTATTTTTGTAATTTCTATGGACTGGGTGCTATTTTTGTAATTTTTTTAAAGGTGGTATTTCTGAAAAAAAACACCTTTTATGCACGGTCTACCAGTCCAAGTTTATGGTCGGCCAAAATCTTTCGTTAGAATGACCACGTTAATATAATCGGTCAAACGCTACCACTTACCCGTCGATCATTCTGCCCAATTCATTGTTACTTGCAAGCCACCCATAACTCCTGAATTGCTTGATTGTACAATACATATTGTCTATGTATGGCATCGTTTCGAAGTCTATCAAGCAAACATGCACAAATTTGGCATAAATACTCCATAAATAGGCAACAAACATAGCAGTGACAATTTTGTATCAAATCACCAATCTAATTCATCTCCCAAAATATTTAATTAATCCAGATTTAATTAGATTGGTGGATTCATGAATTGTTGACAAATTAAAGTTTAGTACTATAATTTTATTTATTTTTTTATAATTTCAGACTTAAATATATTTTTCAACGAAAAATATAATTGGAAATTAAATTTTGTTACCTACAATTTTTTATCATGATATTTTAGTCCCTTAAATTTCAAAATTTTCATATTGGTCAAATGTTTAAATGTCACTTAGATCCATCAATCCAATCCACCAATCCCTTTGGTACAATCCACCAATCCATTTGATCAAATTCATGAATCCACCAAATACAATCCAATCTACCAATCTATAAATCCAATCGATTTGTCACCTCTAAACAAACATCATTTGCTCGATGCAAATAACAACGACATTTCACAATAGAGGGACTCTTACAAAAATTTCAAAGGCAGAAATTGCAATTCTAGGTTATATAATAGGGTTAATAGCGCTGATGGTAAGACAACCTAGTTGGTAAAGGGCTAGGGTTCGGGCTTGGGATGTGACAAGGTTCGAGGTTCGAATCCCAGTACCGCCTTCTTGGTGTTCCCGAAGGCCCGATGACGGTAGCACAACGCCACAAAGACCTTGATGGTTAGTATGCAGGTACCCTCAAGTTTAGTATGCCTCGCTGTCACTCATGTGTCATGTGGGTTGCTGATGTTCCTGAGTTATCAAATAAAAAATAAGGTTAATAGATTTTTTTTTCCTTCTATTATTGTCAATTTACAAACGTACCCTTGTATTATTATTTTACACAAATGTACCTTGTAATATCATAACGTAACAAAAATACACTTCTATTTTTCACTTCCGGCGCTCAACTACTAGCGCGCCGCTCTCTCATTGCCTCTCCCATTTTGTTCTCATATCTGGTTCTCATATCTGACGCGGGGTGAGGTTTTTCTCGACAAACGAAGGGGGAGGGAAGGATGGTAGAATTAGAATATATAGTCATGATACACTTGGGGGTAATTGAGTCAATTCCCACCTTAGTTAACTGCGAGTAACCATTTTTCAACGGAAGGACATTTTTGTTTCATTGTGATATTAAAAGGGTACGTTTGTGCAAAATAATAATACAATGGTACGTTTGTTAATTTACAATAATAAAGGGACAAAAAATTTTATTCGTTCTGGAGTGAGTTGGAGCGCAGACATCTTATCCACTGAACTAGCTAAAAGCTTTGTTCTAAAATTCCTTATTCGTCGTCCTAATTAAGTTACATTTACTTGAATGCCTTAGTTAGAACCCCAAATTGAAGTAGAAGCCCCTTAAAACTCCTGGCACATAGTAGCCGCCATTTACCCAATCAAAACTGAACCTCTTCCCGCTCGAGAAAAAAGTAACCACCGCCGGGATCGTCCTGTATTGGCCGGCGTCTGAAGAAGAGATGTCTGACCTCTTATTCTCCGACGGGATCATTTTGTATTTTCCCCTTCATCTTTGTGTGGATAAGGGAAAAGTTGATGACCCAAAAGGTATGTTAGTCAGCTGCCTCACTAGTCACCACCACTATCACCTCACCTCTCCCCACCGCCTTCGCCATCACAATTACAAATTTACAACCGTATAACTTCAACAACCATTAATCGGCTACCCACAAAATCAACTTCGTCACCTATCCTTAATCTTCTGCTGTGTATCCATGGGTTTCCGGAAGCTAAGGTGAGTGTCGAATTTGGGTAAGGCTGGGAGAGAGATCGATCGTTTCTAAGATTTAGGTTTGAATTGGGGCTTGGGGTGTATGTATCATTTTGGTACGATTTAGGTAGATAAAATTTAAATTTTAGATATAATATGATCATGCATGCATGGTATTCTCACCATGCTGTCCAAGTAGCTAGGGTTGTCATTTCGGTTGCCGGTTAGCGACTAACCGGCCGGTCTAATCGTTAATCGCCAGTTAGCGGCTAATCAGAAACCGAAAAAAATAGGTGTCGATCGGTCGTCGGAGGTGGCCAGTGGTTAAGAAATTAGCCGAAAACCGACGTCGGTTAACCGGCTAACCGACGCTAACAGATCGACCTAAACGACGCCGGTTTTACCTAACTAAAACACCCCGTCCCCAACCCTAGCAGCCCTTCGTTCCTCCATCCTCCCTCAAACCCTCACAGTCGTGCAGCCGCCCCACTCCCACACAGCACAGCAGCGGCGACGACTCCGCCTCCCTTCAATCGCCCCGCCGCCTCTCCCTCCAATCGCAACCCCGCCGCCTCCCTCCAATCGCCCCTCCACTTGCCGCGCCGCTCGCCTTCACTCCCCATCTCGTATTTCCCCAGCACCACCTGCTGCATGCTGCAGCCGGCGGCGACCGCCGCGTCCATTGTTTTTTGCTTTCCTCTGTTCAAGTGATTGGTAGAGAAGGAAATGGCGGTTTGATAAGTGTTGATGAGAGAGGACTGAGTTGTGATTTGAGTGAACTCGTGAGGAGTGGATTGGAAATGTATTCGAGATTTCGGTTTTCGGTTAAACCGAAACCGACCTACTGCCAGCCTACAATTAGCAAGGAAAAATATAAATGGGTTGCCTCTGCTCTGTCAATTCGCGCGTAATTGCTAGACCAAAATCCCCGAATGCTTCCATAAAAAAAAAAAAAAAGAATCCCCGAATGCAGATTTTATTTATATATATGACAATGGGTGGAAGTTTGCAGCTTCAAACTTGTGTTTGCGCGTAAGACAATTGGCTGCTTGCAGAGGGTGGCGCCAGCTGGTTGGTTAGCCTCTCTGCCTCAACATTCTTCCTCGCGCCAATATATATACTGTACAGATATAGACAACAGTTTGTTTTGTTATTTTTAATGAATGGAAGAAACTTGAATATTCCATAAAGAGAGACACCCACCGCCACCAGAGATCGATCGACCATCCAATTCCAAACTGTGGTGGTGAGTGATTGAGTAGGTGATGGCGGGCGGGGGGAATGGAAGCGTAATGTAATACTACTGCTATTACTATACGTCTATACCCACCGACCACTATCCCATATACTTCCATTCAAAGCATAATGCATATGCCTTGTCTCCTATTGTAATATAAGCGATTCCATCCATATATACTTTTCAATCTGAAAAATATATAAATTAAATATATTTCGTCCCACGTACAAACGGTAGCGTAAGACTTCCGTAATGTTAAACTATATGATATATCGTCTCCTTTTCAAAATAGTAATTAAGAAGGAAATTGAATTTCTATCCAATCTCTCTAAGGATTGATCAGAATTATAAAAGTTGTTTTTTTTATACTCTTTAGATTTAAACTATATTTTTATTATATACTATAAAAAAAATAGACTCTTATCATCCACTATAAGATAAACTATATTGGGATATCCTGCAATAACTTGGGTATAATTTCAAATTAGGTAACTTGTATAGATCTAAACCGTTAAAATCGATCAAACTTATCCTAAATCATTGATTAAAGAAATTAAAAATATAAGTAAATAATCAATGGCAACAAGGGTTGCCGGTCAGCACCTTCTCAATTTACCTTTTTTATTTTTTTCTTTCTTTTTTCACATTTAGTTGATTTTCCTTATTTTATCCTTTCCTTTTTTAATTCTTATGAAATTAGAAGCCTTACGTAAAAATTCCGTAATAAATTAGCTCTTTACGTAACACAATGTTAATACTCATTGCGTAAGACTTCTGTAATGACATTTTACAATTGTTACGTAAAATACACATTCATTACGTAAAGGTTACGAAACGATAGTTATTTCTTACGTAACAGTTAAATCAGGAGCGTTACGTAAGACTTCCGTAATGACTTAGCACTTCACGTAACACAAGGTTAATACTCATTACGTAAAAAGACCTTCCATTACGTAAAGCTTACGAAATGACAGTTATTTCTTACGTAACAGTTAAATTAGTAGCGTTTCGTAAGGCTTCCGTAACGACTTAACATTTTACGTAACGCGAGGTTAATACTCAGTACATAAAGACACATTCTATTACATAAGGCTTCCGTAATGATCTTTTACAACTGTTACGTAAGATTACCATATGTTACGTAACCATTACGTAATGCCTATTGTAATTTACCTAATGCGACCTGTGAAAACTACTATATCAGGTACAAAAATTCAAGTTACTTTACTTAAAGTTACCATAGGAAATCCCATACTATATTATTATTTAATCAAAATTTTAATTTTAATTTTAACTATCCATATGTATTTAGTATGATGATATGATCGATATTGCAACTAAAAAATGTGATTCATTTATAAATTTATTGGCATAATGGTCATTAGAGGAATTTTTGAAATCCAGCTAAGCAAGTCTTGGAAATATTTTAGCTCAATATCATTCCAATAAAAGCAGTGACGTAACCAGGATTTCGTCTAAGGTGGGTCCACTTAAAAGAAAAATACACTTGAAAAAATAGTTTTTGTTAACTTTGCTAATAATTCATGATATAATTTAATATTGAAATTATTTAGTAAAGTAAAATAAATTAGTAGTCGAAGCTATCATATTTGTCACCCTGTATACCAAACAATTATTAATGATTTAGTTAGCCGTTCTCTTCCAATGACGTTCTTTGTCAAGAATCGTTTAATATCAACAATTCGAGTTGTTGAGAGAAGTTTAATAATGAATCTTACACAATATAACAATTCATGATTTTGTTAGTCGTTCGTTTTCAAATTATCTTCTTTGTTAAGAATCGTTTAATATCAATAACTCGAGTTGTTGGAGTTGCACAAATCCAAATACCATGTGCTTAAAAAATGAGATCGCAAAGATTCGAACACAATACATTTTGATAAACTATTCTTAATAAGACACCTCTAATTTTTTGTATCAATTAACTATTATACTTAATTTAACAGTTTTTACGGAGTCATACTCCTATACTCTCCCTCCGCCACTGCATAAAAGACATGGCATTCTTTTGGAAGCTATTTCCAAGCAATTAAGAACCATGCCGATAAGAAACATGCCGGCTCTTGGGTGACTTTTAGATCAATACTTTTCTTTGTTTCCCTTGTTTGACCAAACATATTGTGACAAATAATCCCCTGTTACTCACTTACTCTGTTTCTTGTTCTGTTTGGCACAATGGTTTTGGAGAAAACAGCGTGAGGCCATGAGTGGGATTGTCTGATGAGGAACACTAAATCGGGAAACCTTTGAGGTTTGTATTATCATCAATCGCCATTTTGGGTTGGCTTACGGGCCCGCCATGGCACCTCACCATGCAGCAGGAAAAAAAAAAGGGGGGATGTTAAAGTGAAAGTAGTATCCCCTCGATCTCATCTCCAGATGCAAATTGCAATGCCAGCCATACTGCCACGAACTGAAAGTGAAAACCCCATCACCTTCCCTCTTTTTACATATCCCATGTCCTGGCCACCCGGCTAATTGATCACTTCTTTATCAAATTGTCTCAACAAAGATTGGCCAATTTATGCTACAACGACCATCAATTATGTTAAAAGCACTTTGCCCCCATTTCATTTGATTTTGCTACCATGCCCACGAAGGTACGGTATGGCTTAGGATTGAACTTACTTTGATTCATCCTTATGTCAGGGAAACAATATGGAGAAAAACGGATTGAAAGCGTGATTTTGATCACTCTCCTTAGAGTGTTTATTTGCCCCCACTACTTAGTTGCTGGTAGGATTTAGGCAAACCACCCCCAGGAGTCCCTCCAATCAAAGTCAGAAAGCAACACCTTTCGTGACTTCTGTGTTTGTGTTTTTGGAGAAGGAAAAACGAGGAGAAGAAGATGAACGTTGGACAAGAACATCGGCTGCAAAAGACCTTTTTATAGTGAAAACGGCAGTTCCCTTCCGAAGGGTTACGTCGTTTCAAAAAATTCAAAATCAAATAATTACCCGGATTAATTAATTAAAATAATTCCGGTAATTAATTAGCCAAAAATTCAAATCCGAACGCATCGCGCAAACGTGTAAAGTGCGTAGTGCGATTTAATATGTTAAATTAAATAGCCCACACTTTTTCCAAAAGCCAACTAACCACTTTATACAATAACTAAAGTGGAAAGCAAACTTAAAAACAACTTGCACTTTCCTTCTCCGACCAATGTGGTATTTCCATTACTCTTTGACTATAACAATCCCCCACTTAGTCAATAAGAGTCGAGAATACCTGCCTCGAACAAGTAACACATACATAAAGGTATCTTTTCGATTTGAACCTTTACTTAGTGTAAGCATCTCAAAGTTCATAGCGAATCAATGACGGGCTTAAGCCTAGGAGTCAAGATCCAAAGCTAGAACCGGAGACACCATACACGTATTCGTCTCTTCTCTAAAACACAACCACCAACAAGGGTAGCACTATTATGGCCATGTGCTTATCCTGTTTCATGAGCATATACAAAAGTTGACATTTACTTTCGTTAGAGCGGCACCACTCTAAATGCTCACATAGGTGACATTCCAAATGAACGTCATTAAGAATTCTATAACTCACCCTTCTTACAACTAATTTACTTGTACAATAAACTAGTTCCCAGTTAGAGTAACTTGTTATTATCACATTGAACCTTTTAATTAGGGAATATCTAAAGAAAAAGTTGAGTTTCCATTACTTCTAACTATACAAAAGGTCTCAATCCCATCCCTTGGGATGTCTCATAGATCATGCCTCTTGGCAACCCCTTTGTAAGAGGATCTGCCAAATTGTTGCACGACCTTACATACACAATAGAAATGATTCCGTTAGTAATCAAATACCTAACGTAGTCATGTCTTAGGCTAATGTGTCTAGACTTACCATTGTAAATTTTGTTATAAGCTCTTTGTTATAAGCATAAGACAGAAATGGCTGGCATCGGTTGTGGCCACAACTCTATATCTAACAACATGTTTTTTAGCCATTCTGCTTCTTTTCCAGCCGCCGCAAGGGCTAGGAATTCGGCTTCCCTAGTGGAGTGTGTAATACATGTTTGTTTCTTCGAAGCCCAAGAAACAGCTCCACCACCTAGTGTAAAAATCCATCCTGTTGTGGATTTATTATCACTAGCGCTCGTGATCCAACTAGCATCAGAAAATTCTTCTAGTACAGTGGGGAAGTTGCTATAGAAGAGTCTCAAATCTTTGGTTCTTTTCAAATAACCAAAGACTCTTCATATAGCTCTCCAATGATCGGCACTAGGATTACTAGTGAATCTAGAAAGTTTGCCCACCGCAAATGCAATATCGGGCCTAGTACATCCCATTGCATACATCAAACTTCCAATAGCACTAGAATACTCAACTTGTGCCACTGCCCTTCCCTCATTCGCACAAAGGTTAAAAGATGCATCATAAGGGGTGTTAGCCTCCTTTATATCCAAAT